CTAAATGCATGGCAAATGCCTCCTTTTATAGGCCAAAATTGAAAACTATTGATTTGATGACTAATTGATGAGTGGGTGGCCAACTCTTGACTTGGTGACAATCTTTATCTTTTCTTGTCTGCCTAAAATGTAATTGATAACGTTCGAATTAGAAACCACTTTACATGAAAGTTGTAGGAAATTGTCTCAGCTTTTCAGGAAAAAAAGATTGAGGTCATTTGGACTTCTAGAACTCTAGATATAGGCCAAAAATTGAATAGTGTTTAAGCTGCATGATAAATTCAGACTTCTTCGTTGTTGTTATAATTTGGACTTCAAAATGGTCTTTTTAAATCTTTGGCTCCATGAAAGTTGTAGGCCTTTGTCTTACCTTTTCATCATATAAAGTATACCTAAATCCGAGATCTACAGGTTCAGATATGACCAAATTACCGAACAGTGTTCTGGTTTGGACTGCACCGGCATCTCTTTTCTAAGTTTGACCATCTTTTTATCCTTTCATTTTCAGTTCTTAAACTCATCAATCAACTCTTTTATTTATGTGATAGGCCTGCATTTAAAATGAACATTTACCATAAATTAAATGTATCTTATATTATTGACATGTAATTATAAAACATGCTTTATTTAAGGAGTTATTGATACTTCAAGTGCAAAATAATTATATAAAACCTTGATAAAATACACTTTTAAGTACTAATCAGAATACGCAAGGATTTCATAAAAAAAACAAGATAAACTTTTGAAGATAAGGACGAAAGAGTTCGTTCATGAGGTTTTGGAATGTTGCTAACATATTGGTGAGGCTAAATGGCATCACTACAAACTCGTAATGACCTTTATGAGTGTGAAAAGTTGTTTTAGGAATGTCTTCCTCCCATACTCTTATTCGATGGTAACCTGAGCATAAATCTAATTTGAAGTAAATTTTTTTATCCATAAACCTCATTTAATAATTCATCAATCAAAGGAATAGGATACTTATCTTTGATTATGATATCATTTAAAGCATGATAATCTGTACAGAATCTTCAAGCTTTATCCGACTTCTTTACTAACAAAACAGGGGAAGAGAACGAACTATTGTTTGGCTTTATTAGTCCAATTCACAGTAGCTCTTGCACCATTCTTTCAATCTTGGTTTTCTAATAATATGGATATCTGTAAGGCCTAACACTTATTGGTTTGGTTTGTGGCTGTAGTAGAATTTGATGGTCATATGTCTGTTGAGGTGGTAAACTAGTAGGTGCTGCAAAGACTAAAGAATATTTAGCTAAGAGTGAGCTCATTTCAGACGGGTAAGAAGGTGACTGAATAATACTTTTGGTTTGTATTATTTGGAAGAACAATCCAATGCCTTACAATCCATAGAGCCCCTTATCAGACAAGGCTATGATGTTTGTTGGTCTAATTCTATGAAAAGTATGAGAGGTTCCTCCTTCTTTGAAAGACATGGTGAGCTATTTATAATCCATCTCCATAAGACCATGAGTTTCTAACCATTACACTCCTAACACTAATTGGCATGCTGCAAAAGGCAGGATGTAAAAATTAGTGATGACTGGATATCCTTCTATGTTGATGGTGAGTGCCTAACATTATCCAACACAATTTATTTTCTCTCGGTTAACCATCATAACTTGAAATTTCTTTTCCCGGTTTACTAACAGCCCAAACTTAGAAATAATAGCTTCATGAATAAAATCATGAGTACTACCACCATTTGTTAACAATATTACCTTCTTGTTCTACGATTAATTGGCCTATGACATGCACAATTTGTGGATGGTCGGTTCTTGTCATAGTGTGGAAAGAAATCTCAGGTATGACTTCATTCTCTATTAGTTCGAGTTGGCCATTTGTAATATCCTCACAACATATGATAAGAGAATCCCAAATCACAAACAATGATGGCCTTTGTCAACGATGTCCTGGAATAAACTTTTCATCGCAATGATAGCATAAGCCCTTCTTTCTTTGCTCTTGTACCTCTTGATTAGTAATTTTACGAAAAGATGTTGGTGGGGTGTTGGAATCGATATTTATTCTTTAACCTTGTAGTGGCCCCGACACTCTAGCCGTGAGGTTGGGTGATGCCTTTACTATCACTAAGGATACTACTGGGATGGTGCCGACCGTATTAGGAGAGGGCTTTCTTATGCAACTGATTCCTTTCCTCAATCAATCTCGCCACTCCTATGGTATTTGCCAAGGTATGAGGTTGTTTGATTTTATTATCTAAACGAATCTCATCTTGAAGTCCCACAATAAAACAACCAGTTAAAAAATTTTCTAGCAAGCCATCAACTTAATATGAGAGTCTCTCAAAAGCCTTTTGGTATGCTGCCACCGTCATGTTTTGTTTAAGATGAGTCAAGGCTTCTAATGGGTCTTTATAGTTGGCTAGACCAAATTATTGTTATATAGCCTTGGTTAACTCATCCTATGTTAATGGTCCATGAAACTTGGTTAACCAAGTAATGCTGTTTAAATGGAAAAAGGCTAGTTGAACTTGCTGGTTTGACATAATATTTTGAAATTAAAAATATTGTTTTGCCTTGTAAATCCATCTAGTTGATCTTTATTAAATTTTGGAAATGATAACTTAAGATTGTGGTGTTGATGGTTATTAATGGAGTGAGGGTGAGTTGGTTGTTGGTGTGAAGATTCTTCATTAGCAAAAGGGTTGATTTTAGGAGAATTAGTATTGAGTTATAGATAGCACGAAGAGCTTGAAGTTCTGTCAATACTACTTACAAGGTAGCATTAACTTGATCAAAGCTCGACTTGTATCGGATTAGGACTTCATTGACTTCATTGCGAAACTTCGTGTTTTATTTCCTATGAGTATCCATGGTTAAAACCAGGAATAACAAAGGATAACCTAGCTTTAATACCACTAATAGAATTAATTTTAAGGCAGAAGAAATATAACAGAAAGGAAGTCTGTGATTGTAGTTAATTTCTAGGTCTTCCTCTGTTAAAATATCATTTGATATTTATAGCCACACAGCACATAACATAATTAACAAACAAAATGAACAAACAAACAGTTACATCACTATTCCACTTCTAACCAATAACTATTGAACCACATTGCTGCCCGCTCTGCAGTAATGTAGCCACTATATATTCCTGCAGCTTAATTTGTGGTATGATCCTATGTTTTTGTGCATATCTTTTGGACATGATCTTCTAGGCACGTTGATTATCTTCCAGCCATGTTCTTGTTCATATCACATAAAGTACCTTTATACATTTTTACTCTCTTTGTTATATATTATTTTTCTCCAAAACTTAAAAATTGCAACATTAGAAGTTCTTGTATCGTAACAAAAAAACTTGTTTTATAGGAGTTTGTGAGCATAAGCTTTGCCGAAATAAAAAAAATCTTCCAAAACCCATTGAAGAAAATAGTAAAATAAAAAAAATCACAATTTAAATTTGAAGTTTTTCCACTGATCCCGAGTTATACGAGGCAATGATCTGAAAATTATTAATATGTACCAGACATACAATGGAACCTAACTAGTTTGACACTTGCGGACATATACCTTCACTAATATTCAAGAAATTAATGAGATGCAAGAAATTTACAAAACGGTCGCATCACAATGGTTGTTACAACTGTGCCGGGTCCATGCAGTGGTAGCTAGAAGTTGCTAAAGTTTCATGGTGGAAATTTCCATGTAATTATTCATAAGGAAAATAAATAAATAAAGAGGCGAAGAGCGACAACAGCCACAATTTCTCGTCATTTCATCATCTTTCCCATTAGTGCGTTGTGGACCATGTACTCTTTTTCTCAGTGAAATCTTCACCAACCATCATGCTGCAGGCTGCTTGGAAATATACTTTCTCCTCTTTTTCCGTCAATATTTGGAGTTGACCGGAAACTTCCCTGCAAATTGGTTTTGGAAGTCAAGAAAGTAGATAGTGACTAGTGAGGACGTGACATTGCAGAACCCCCCACTGTAAATTGGCTTTGACAATATATTTATTTTAAATGCTAACACGAACCGTCCACAATCGTTGAAGGGCCGGCAAAAGTATCCAATTTGGATGAGTACTGAGACTGTTAGCTACCACCGGTAGCAGCTTTGATCGGCAAGTACAGATTCATGAAGGGCCCGTCATGTTGGTGAAAGAACAGATATCATAAAGTTGGAGTCCGCTCGATATGATTTTTCTCGTTTTCCCTCGTCTTTTTCCGTGTATGGCAATTGTTAATTGCTTCTATAGGATTGAGATTTTGTTTTGTCTATCAACCGGAAAGATCGAGCAATTCGAAATCACCACATGTACTTGCCACTATCAACTTGGATAATATGACTAGATATTAATAAATATGAATTATAAGATATATAGAACTGGTAATTATAAATTTTACAAATTATTTTATCTTAGATTTTAATTTTTAAATTAAAAACAAATTATTAACATATTTGGTTGGAAATAAATTTCGACTTTAATCGAATGTTTATTACAAAATTAAAAAAAATAATTGTTTTAAACAAGAGTTTATATTTTTAGCTTTTCACATATTTATTCTAATTAGTTTTTGAATTATACTTTCCCAACAAAAGCTTTTGATTCTATGATTCTAACTTACACTTCATAAAAAAAAAAGTTGTTGTGAATCAGTTTTTGCCAAACATGCTTCTTAAGTTGACTCATTTTAGCAATTACAGTATGTATTATAACTATGTAATAAGAGAGAACGGTCCACTTTCTATTACAATGTAAAATCATTTGGACATTCCACTAAAAAGTAAATGATAGAACCTACTTTGATCTGATTGGCCCTAACAAGGCATTACTAGAGTTGAGCCGTCTTCAAGTAAATTCCGAGTCAATTATGAAGTGAAAGTAGTTCACAAGCTTTCTATTTAAAATTACGTACGGTCCAGCCCTAATTTTCAAATTTTTACATGGATGATAGAATAGACAGCAAGTACACACTGCAACAACCAAGGAGTTGTCCCATATGCTTTCAGTCTTCCTTATATATTCCTTCGTTAGTTCCCATCATTTCTCATTCCATTATATTCTCTTCTGTTCTACAATAATGGCATCATCACCCGCCTCTCTGTTGTTCAAAGTTCACAGACGTGAACCAGAACTGATCAAGCCTGCCAAGCCCACCCCACATGAGTTCAAACTATTATCTGACATCGACGACCAAGAAGGTCTTCGATTCCACATTCCAGTCATGCAATTTTATCGCAATAATCCCTCTATGCAAGGGAAAGACCCCGTCAAAATCATTAGGGAGGCACTTGCAAAGACATTAGTGTTTTACTATCCATTTGCCGGTAGACTCAGGGAAGGGCCTAACCGCAAGCTCATGGTGGAATGCACCGGTGAGGGTATCTTATTCATAGAAGCTGATGCTGATGTTACACTTGAGCAATTTGGTGATGCGCTTCAACCACCTTTCCCCTGCTTGGAGGAGCTCCTCTTTGATGTCCCTGGCTCTAGTGGGGTGTTAAACTGCCCTTTGTTGCTTATTCAGGTAAATAATTTCCTTGCTATATATGAGTTTCCACACCTTCATTTGCACGTGTACAAACATGTGTTCAAATTGTAGCTTTTTTTACATCCAAGTTGTACCACAATTTGAGATAGATGAAAAACAGGTTCAAACACAATTTGTGATCGCTCTAAAAGCATCTACAATGCGAAACGGATAGGTGGATATACAACTGGTGTCTAACATATATATATATTGTACAAATTGGCAGGTGACGCGCCTCAAGTGTGGTGGTTTTCTGTTTGCCCTCCGCCTGAACCATACCATGAGTGATGCCGTAGGCCTGGTCCAATTCATGGCAGCAGTGGGTGAGATGGCACGGGGAGCCAATGTGCCCTCCGTCCCAGCTGTGTGGGAAAGACAAGTTCTCAATGCTAGTAACCCTCCACGAGTTACATGCACACACCGTGAGTACGAGGAGGTAGCTGACACCAAGGGTACCATTATTCCACTTGATGATATGGCTCATCGTTCCTTCTTCTTTGGCCCTTCAGAAATGTCTGCTCTTCGAAAATTTGTCCCGCCTCACCTTAGCCATTGTTCTACTTTCGAAATTCTAACAGCATGTCTTTGGAAATGTCGTACCATTGCCCTCCAACCAGATCCTACCGAGGAGATGCGCATAATATGCATTGTCAATGCTCGTGAGAAATTTAACCCTCCATTGCCAAGAGGATACTATGGTAATGGCTTTGCTTTTCCTGTAGCAGTGGCAACTGCAGGAGAACTCTCAAGAAATCCATTTGGATACGCCTTAGAATTGGTGAGAAAGGCTAAGGCTGACGTGACTGAGGAATACATGCGATCAGTATCATCTTTGATGGTGATTAAGGGGAGGCCTCACTTTACAGTGGTAAGGGCATACCTAGTATCGGACCTGAGACGTGCAGGATTTGAAGAGGTAGATTTTGGATGGGGTAATGCTATATATGGTGGCGCTGCCAAAGGTGGTGTTGGCGCCATCCCTGGAGTTGCAAGCTTTTATATCCCATTTACAAACAAGAACGGAGAAAATGGGGTTGTGGTCCCATTTTGCTTGCCGGCTCCCGCCATGGAAAGATTTGTCAAGGAGCTTGACGGCATGTTGAAGGACCAGCCAGTTAGCGCACAAACTAAGTCCAAACTTATTGTATCTTCCCTATAAGTTGATTTGCGTACTCGTTCTTTCCAGAAGCTAAGATGTCAGTCTTCGCTACATGTGTAATAAGGTTAAACTGGTGCGAGTGAGAGTGCCGATGAGAAGGCCAGAAAAAATAGGGGAGGGGGGTGAACATGTTTATGTACGTTTGTTTGAAATTATCTTCGAAAGATTTCTGTCAATTTAGCATATGCTTCGACTGTGAATCATTATATTTATACCATTCAGAGATAATTAACCTTATTGTCTGCTCAAACTAATAAGAACTGAACAAAAACAAATTTAAAAGCGGAGGGGGGCATCAATACAAATAAAAGTAGAGGAACTGATAAAAACCATCAATAATTAAGAAATAAAATACCAAAAAACTATAATTAAAGAAGAAATACAGCCCTTTGCTATATATATATATATATATATATATATAAAACTTGCAGAAGAATATTGTTATGGGTGGAATGGAAATCGCTTCCCCTGTTACTAATCTCAGTCTAAATTTGGTTAATTGATGAAGATTGCTATTCAGATATCAGTTGGATAGATGAAGAAGCATATAAAAACTGTATAGAAACAAGAAATGATTCACCCGAATCTCTCTTCATGCGTTTCTTGCTTTACAATTTTTCATCGTGCCTTTTAGTATGTTACAACCACATATATACACACCAATTGGTTTGTTCCGAAACTGAAGGATAGCATTCCTTATTACACGTGTCTCCTAAAACATTGCAAAATAAAAATAAAACAGTGTGTTTAGCTGTTTGATGAGTTCCTGCTCTGACCCATGATTCAAATCTCCACTATCTCTGTTATTGCTTGTTCCTCTTCTTCGTTCCTTGTAGTGTTATTGATTGCAGCATGTGACAAATCTTCCCCCATTGAAACAACCTTGTCCTCAAGGTTAAAGTGTGGAAAACGAGCTGCGATTTCCTCTGCATATTCCCAAGTAGCATCTGCAGGTGAGAAGCCCTTCCAATGAATTAATATTTGAGTGGCAGCCTGATTCTTTCTCTTTACGATGCGTCTGTCCATTGTTGCTTGTGGTTGTAATGTAGGGGTCGGAGGTATTTGTGGCAAGGTAGTCTGCACTGGTTGGCTCCCTACATGCCTCTTAAGTTGTGGAACATGGAACACTGGATGTATGGCCGAAGAAGGTGGAAGCTCTAGTTTATACGTCACTTTGCCAATCTTATCTATCACCAGGTAAGGACCGAAGAACTTTGCTGATAATTTCTGTGATGATCTGTGGACTACTGATTTTTGCTTGTAGTGTTGGAGTTTAAGATAAACATAATCCCCTATAGAGAAGCTCCTTTCGCTTCGCTTGTTATTGGCAATTTGTGTCATCCTGTTCTGTGCAGCTTGTAAATTCCTCTTGACTTGCTTAAGCATTATTTCTCTCCTGGTTAGAATATCATCAATTGACTCCACCGTAGAGTCTTTATAAAGGTAAGGAACATGTATAAGAGGAGGAAACCCATATAGTATTTCATAGGGAGTGAGCTGAGTCGAAGAACGGAAATTGGTATTGTACCACGCAAGTGATAGCCATCGTGCTCACTGGTTTGGGTTGGTCCCTGTCATGCATCTAAGCTAGTTTTCAACACATTTATTGACGATCTCTGTCTGACCATTAGTTTGAGGGTGATATGCTGAGGAGTAGAGTAAGTTAACCCCTTGTATAAGGAACAATTCTTTCTAGAATTTGCTCAGAAATACTGGATCCCTGTCACTGACCACTGATACTGGAAAACCATGTAATTTATACACATTATCCATAAATATCTTAGCCACTGTAGGTGCTGAATAGGGGTGGCTAAGGCTCATGAAATGAGCATATTTGCTAAAGCAATCAACTACCACCATAATGACATCCTTGCCTTCATATTTAGGCAGCCCATCAATAAAATTCATGCTAATATCGATGAATGGAGCATGAGGAATAGGTGGAGTGACTACATTCTCATGCTTTTTTTTGTTGACAGATTGAGCATGCTCGCACAAATTATCGGATGCGTTTCTTCTGCCCCTTCTAGTAGAACAAACTGCCCACCTTTTTTGCAGTAGCTGTGCTTCCTGAGTGACCACTCGTAGCTGAGTTGTGATATAAGAAGATTAACCTTCTGTGTAAGTCCACATCACATCCCACCATAATTTTTCCCTTCCTCTGCAAATGGCCATTAACCCATGAGTAGTGTGAATGTGATGTTGGAGAGGCTTGCAGGTTTTGAATGACAGTCTGCAAATGTGGATCTTTCTGCCAAGATTGTGCAATTTCCTCCATAAGCTTGGTAGAGACTGAAGAGTCAATCAAGGAACAGAGTAATTGGCTTGAAGTTCGTGAGAGTGCATTAGCTGCCACATTGTCTTTCCCTTTTCTGTATTCTATCTCATAGTCATACCCCATTAATTTAATTAGCCATTGGTGCTGCATAGGAGTAACTATCTTTTGGTCTAGGAGATATTTAAGACTTACATGATCCGTGCGAATCTTAAAATGCCGCCCCCAGAGGTAATGCTTCCATTTGTTGACTACATGCAGTATAACCAATATTTCCTTTTCATAAATAGACATGGCTTGCTATTTAGGGCCTAGAGACTTGCTGATGTAGGCAATAGAATGCCCCTCTTGCATAAGTACTGCACCTACACCCACCATCGATGCGTTGGTCTCTACCACAAACAGTTTATCTAGAGTTGGCAAAGATAATACTAGAGGAGTGGTCATCAGCTCCTTGAGTAAGGTGAATGCAGTAGTTGCTTCTAGGTTCCAGCCAAAAGCATCCTTTTTTAGGAGTTGTGTCAAGGGTTTGCAAATGGATCCGTATCCCTTGACAAATCTTCTATAGTAGCCAGTAAACCCCAAAAACCCTCTGAGTTGCCATAAGTTCTTAGGCAATGGCCATTCAATTATAGCTTTGAATTTGTTGGGATCGGTAGCAACTCCATAATTGGATATAATATGGCCCAAGTATTCAACTTGTTCGCTGCCAAAGCTACACTTACTTTCCTTTGCCACTAGCTGATGTATCCTCAAGAGGTCGAAAATAGTCTGTAAATGTTCATAGTGAGCTGCAGATGTCTTGCTGTAGATTAATATGTCGTCAAAAAATACTAAGATGAACTTCCTGAGGTGTGCTCGGAAAACCTCATTCATCAAGCTCTGAAATGTAGCTGGAGCGTTGGTTAACCCAAACGGCATAACTAAGAACTCGTAGTGGCCATTGTGTGTCCTGAAAGCTGTTTTGAATTCCTCTCCCGAACCCATCCTAATTTGGTGATAACCAGATCGAAGGTCAATCTTCAAAAATATTGTTGCTCCCACCAGTTCCTCCAGTAGCTCTTCCACCACTGGAATGGGGTATTTATCCTTGATAGTCAATTTATTCAGTGCTCTATAATCCACACAGAGTCGCCATGTGGAATCCTTCTTCTTAACCAACATTGCTGGGGAGGCAAAAGGGCTATTACTAGGCCTTATAATTCCAGTTCCTAGCATTTCCTCCACCATTTTTTCGAGCACATCCTTCTGCAGCCCGAAGTACCTATATGGTCTCAAGTTAACGGGTTGACTCCCTTCCTTCAAGGGTATAACATGATCATGCCCCTTAACAGAGGGTAGTCCTTCAGGCTCCTGAAAGAGGTCACTGTAATTCTCCAATAATTTAGTTAACATGGTATCTTGGTGGTGATGTTGCTTTACTGTCAGGGAGCTAAGAGTGAGATCATCATCCTCTAAGACTTGTAAACTACATAAGTAAAGTTCTGCCACCTGCTCTAAATTGTTTAAGAACCCCTGTAGTTGTGCAAGCTCAATAGCTTGGAATTTGATTGGACTCTCTCCCTTCAGCAACACCCTCTGGCCTTAACAATCAAAGGACATCCAAAGATATTTGTAGTTGCACAGAATGTCCCCTAGCATTGACAACCATTAAACACCTAACACCATGTCATAGTTACTCAAGTCCATGATGAACACATTTGCTTCATAGCACACCCCTTGTATCTCCCATTTCAGGCTCTTACACACTGAAGTACATGACATCTTTCCTCCATTGACAGCTTGTATAGTTATAGGGGTGATGGTGGTTAAGTTATTCTGTAGTTTTTGGGCTAATGAAGAGTTTAAAAAATTGTGAGTGCTTCCCGAATCCATAAAAATATGGAGAACCTGCTTCCCTACCTTCCCTGTGACTTCCATGGTGTGGAACCCGACCGTCCCTTCTAAAGCATTTAATGAAATCTAGGGCATTAGTTCTCCAGTTGGACACCCCTCCTCACACTGCTCCTCTCCTCTAATGTCTTCCTCCTTGTCTATAATACTTAGTGAATACAACCTCTTGTTCCTGCACCTATGACCTCGGACAAATTTGTCATCACACCAAAAACACAACCCTTTTAATCTACGTTCTTCAAACTCTTGATTTTTTATAGATTTGGTGGGTTTACTGGCAGTTTTGTTGAAAGAATTTTGAGCACTGTTATTTTGCCAATATGTAGGATTAGCCTTGGGTAAGTTGGCTGATGTAAGATTTGTAGGAGTTAAGTTTGGTGCTTGCATGGTTTTTTATGGTAGGTTGTGGTTGGTGGTGGAGGCTGAGTGTTTTGGTGTAAATTCCGCATGTAATCTGTGAGCTAAGGTATTAGCATGCAATCTTGCGAGGTTGTAAGCTTGCCTCAAGTCTTTGGGTTCGAACATTTTGACAGTGTTTTTAATCTCCAATTCTAGACCACCTAAGAATATAACTAAAGCTTTTTTCTCCCCTATGCCTGCCTTATTCCATAGAATGTCAAAATCGTGGATATAGTTTTCCAGTGTCCCTACTTGTTTCAGGTCAATCAGGTCTTCCATAGGATCCTTCTGCCCTCCAAATCTATAACACAAGGCTTCTACATTCTCATCCCAACTTACTCTCCGGTTATTTAAGTTTCTCATAAAAGTTTGATGTCAATAAAGAGCCATGTCATCTATATAATAAGAAGCAAGTTTCAGTTTCTCAGAATCCTTAATATCCTCAATCTCAAAGTACTGATTGCATTGATACAACCATCTACGAACATCGTCCCCGTTGAATACTGGAAAGAGGTGTTTTGGCCTGTGTACCTTATAAGCAGCTGGTCTTCCCTCATTCTGATAAGTCGCCTAATGATCCCTACCTTGACTTGATTCCCCTGCAGTAAATGGAATCCTTTGCATGACAAACTCTAGCTGTTGCGCTAGACCACTAAGCAAATTTTTTATGTCTGCGATTTGAGTTCCATGATAGTCTGTGGTGGTGTCAAGCTTCTGGCCTTGTTATTTCATGAGAGTAACGAGTAATTCATACTTGTGGTTTGTTTCTGTTTTTGTCAGTTCAACAAACTCCTCAAGCCTTTTTATCTCTGCGGTTCGTGTGTCAGGCGCCATAGCCTCAACCAAGGAAGGTTAGCTCTAATACTAGATGTTATGGGTGGAATGGAAATCGCTTCCCCTGTTACTAATCTCAGTCTAAATTTGGTTAATTGATGAAGATTGCTATTCAGATATCAGTTGGATAGATGAAGAAGCATATAAAAACTGTATAGAAACAAGAAATGATCACCCGAATCTCTCTTCATGCGTTTCTTGCATTACAAATTTTTATCGTGCCTTCTAGTTTGTTACAACCAAATATATGCACACCAATTAGTTTGTTCCGAAACTGAAGGATAGCATTCCTTATTACACGTGTCTCCTAAAACATTGCAAAATAAAAATAAAACAGTGTGTTTAGCTGTTTGATGAGTTCCCGCTCTGACCCATGATTCAATTCTCCACTGTCTCTGTTATTGCTTGTTCCTCTTCTTCGTTCCTTGTAGTGTTATTGCTTGCAGCATGTGACAAATATGATGAGAGAGAAAACTATCAAGTTATTGTATTTCGATCACCGATGACGACTTTAATCTTGGTGTTTATATATTTGATATTTTATAAAGGATGTTGATAGAGATATTCTCACTTTCTACACAGCGAAGAAAGTAAATTGGTGTCATTGATTTCTTATCAAGTTAGTGACAATGACTTGAGAATATTGTCGGATGAAAAGTGATTTTGCCATAGCGTGTTGCCTCGACGCCTTAAAAAAAAGAAGAAAAAACAGGCGGGTGGGCATGAACTTCTTGGATCTTTACCAGTCATAGGTTTGGGCTGCCAAGCCTATCAACGCTCGGCTTCATATAAATATAAATACTTTTTGGAACTACTCTTTTTTTTTTTTTTTTTACTTTGTGCTTTTAATGTTTAGCTCTTAATTGATACCTCCTTTTCAGGTTTTTATAAGAAAATTATTTAGTTTATCTTTTTCTATAAGAGTAATTAATCTTTTTTATTGCTTTGTGAATTTTATAATGTTTCAAAAATATTATGGTAATTTATCTTTAAAATTTTCATATTATATTTTAAAAAATAAATTATATTTACATGATGTATTTATAAAAAAATTATTTTTTCTTGATAACCAGATTTAAGATAAAATAAATAAAAAAAATGAAAATAACAATTAGAATTAAATATTTGCATGTGGGTTAATTGTTTTTACTAGATAAATTAATTTTTTTATTTTTATGTTTAATTATAATTAATATTTTTTAAGTTATCAAATGATATAATTTATTAATTTAATTTATTTGACACTGACAATATCTTTTTGTTTCTCGATTAAAAAAAACATTATAGTATAAACATTATAGTCATTTTTCTATTTATTTATTATTGTTCACATAAATTCATTGTCGCTATAGATTTCAATAATGAGTTTTTTAAAACAAAATTAATATAATCATTAAATTTTAATTTTGCATAATTAAGCTCAAATTATCACTCATTGTATTTTTTTTTTGGAAGGAAGAGTTAAGTTGAAAAACAAAAGACTAAAGTGAAAAGACAAGTAAAATAAAGATGGCTTTAAAATTTGTTTAAAAAGTTTATTTTAGTCCTTCATCTTTTTCAACTATTAGATAATTGGTCCCATCAATTTATTTAAAAAACAATTTTCAACATAATTAGTTAATAGCTAGTTATGTGACCCATGTTCTATTGTGAGTAAGAT